TCTCCTCTCCTCTCCTCTCCTCTCCTCTCCTCTCCTCTCCTTCCCTTTTTCCCTTCTTCCTTTCCTGCTCTCCTCTTCTCCTCTTCTTTTCCCTTCTTTCCTTTTTTTACTTTTTTACTTTTTACTTTTTTTAACTTTTTAAAACTTTTTCATTTTTAATTTTTTTTTTTCTACTTTTCTTTTTTCCCCTTTTTTTTTCTCCCTCTTTTTTTTCTCCCTTTCTTTTTCTTTTTCTTTTTCTTTTTCTTTTTCTTTTTCTTTTTCTTTTTCCTTTATCCTTTTTCTTTTTCCTTTATCCTTTTTCACTTTTTTCTTTTCTTCTCTCCTTTGGAAGCTCTCTGTCCTGAACTGGGGAGGCTCTGGCTGTTTCTTCCCAAACCCCCAATACACCTGTATCACCAGACCTAGATACTGCATTACTTGAAGTCTGTGCTGGCTGGTGCCTAAAACATTTGAGTCATAATGGCTGTGGGATGCACGAGAGTCCAGAGGCCATGGACCACACAGGTAAAGTTCTCAGAGAAGAAAGCAGGAGGGAGCTGGCAGGGCATTTCATGGTGCATGCATGCAGATGCAATCAGGAATATTCTCAGAATGACCACACAGCTCTGTTTGCTTCCTCTCGTGAGCTCTGGAGGAGACTCCAGAGAATTGTTTTCTTGTTCATTCACTGAAGTCTAAAGAGGTTATGACACGCTTATAGAACCCACAACATGCACACGCTACACCCAACACAACACTAACTGGTAATTGAAAGCAGGAAAGGTCAACATTTATAGCAGAGAAAATGTGAGCGTCAAGGTAAACCATTGCACTCAGAAATGTTTGTGACAGTTGCAGTTGCATAAAGAAAGAGAACCTGTGGTTGCAGCAGAGGCCCCTGGCACAAGCTGGAAAGTCTGCACCGTGCAACGTAGCCAATGTTTCCACGAGGCCAGCTCAGGAGAAATAACCAGGATTGCACAACGATCCAGTGCAGGACTTTACCTCACGCTCACCCTGCCTGCAAATAGCAGCTCTTAATTGCTGCTATTGAACTCAGGCCAGCTTCAGCCTTTGTTGCCTTTCTTCTCCTTCAACCACTTGCATGCGGCTCACTAATAGCTTGCTCCTTTCCCCAAATCAAAGGGTTATTTGCAGCAGGGAGGAATTCATTTGGCAACAAAACTGTGCCCCATTAGAAATGCCTTTTACCTTTCCTGGGCAGAACAAAGTGGCATGTGAAAGACCAAGGGTATACAGTCAAACCTAACAATAGGGTCTGGTCAGCATGGATTAGGGGTCAGCAGCCCTGAAGCTAATTCCTCTTTCTGCTGCTTGACTTGCTCTATGATTCTGGCTCAGACACTTCTTCCTATGTCTCAGAGAGATGACTTTTTAGTATGTAAATCCTTTAGGATAGTGATTCCCTCCGCAGTGCCTGCACTAATCTAAAGGAAGGAACTTGGCCTGGTTCTGCAGGAAGGCACATGGCTTTCAAATAGCATGAGAGAAATAAAAGGTCTGGAAGGCTCTTTGGGGGTTACCTTGTTTATGCACCTCGTCCTGATCTAGGATTGGCTTTTTTGGAGAAATTCTGGCACATATGCATGGCTATCTGCCTCCTTCCTAAAATCCTCCAGTGACAGGCACTTCACAGCTTCCCCAGGCAGTGAATTGAATCACAAGGTCGTGGTGGAGTGGTAGAATCACACAATCACAGAATGGTTTGAGTTGGAAAGGACACTTAAAGGCCATCTGGTCCCAATCCCTGCAATGAACAGGGACACCCACAGCTCCATCAGGTGCTCAGAGCCCCTCCAGCCTGACTTGGGTGTCTCCAGGGATGGGGCACCCACCACCTCTCTGGGCAACCTGTGCCAATTTTTCATTACCTTTATCATAAACAACCTTTTCCTTATATCCAGTCTAAATCTCCTCTCTTTTAGTTGGAAACCCCATGTCCTATCACAGCAGTCTCTGCTAAAGAGTCTGTCCCTTTTGTTTCTTACAACCCCTTTTAGATACTGACAGGAATTACTTTTCTTTTTTTTGTTCTTGATATTGTAAAGAGGTTCCTGTTGATTATAAAGATGTCCACTGCTCACTGTCATCCAAACCCATATCTTCCTGACTTACCCCTGCTAGGGAGAATAATTAATTCCCTGAAAACTGAAACTATCTTACATTGAAAATGAGCAAGTAATTTCATTTCATATAATGGAAGTCACAAGCATACATGGAAATTGCCTGAGGGTATCATTTAGCTCTGAGAGGAAGGCTGCTATGACTTAATTAAAACCCCAAAGCATTAAGAGGTGTGGTAGCCATCCTGAGACATTCAGGTGACCTCCATGTGCCAGCCCAGAATGGCATGGCTGCTTTGAACCTTCTGTCTTCCACCCAATGGGACAAGAGGTGATGGCCTCAAGGTGCACCTGTGGAGGGTGACATTGGCTATTGGGAAACATTTCTTCCCCAAAAGAGAAAGCAGGCACTGCAACTGATTTCCCAGGGAAGTGATGGGCTCACTGTCCCTGGAGGTTGGAGATGTGGCACTCAGGGACATGGTTAGTGAGCACGGTGGGGATGGCTTGGGATTCAACTTGGGGATCCTAGAGCTCTTTTCCAACCTCAGTGATTCTGTGATTATAAACAGAGACATCTCCCATATATCTGAAGTACTTCTATTCTCTTAAAACAGTAATTATCACAAAGCAATGACCAATCATACCCTAATGGGAACATTTCTCCAGATCCTCCCCTCTCAGCGGAGAGCCTGAAGCCAGGGTTCTGTGCCTCCTGCCTCCCCCCAAAAGGAGGCCTGACCCTTTGCACCTCCATCCTCTAGGGACAACACTGTTACACGCAGCCTAGCACAAGCTGCTCAGCAAAAATCACTGAAGCAACAGCAGCTGGAAGCTGGCCGTGATTTACTGCCGGAGCCATTCCTGGTGCTTGCAGCGTGTTGTGCTGTTACGCAGACCAGAAGATGTGGATTTATGTCTTCTCTGCAGAGAACAAGTGCAGTCATAGCATGCCTCTGCTTTCCCGCTGCTCAAATTACTGCTGTAACAAGAGCTGTTATTTATAAGCAACACGCAGCCCTCTGGCTCAGTGTGCTGTGGATTTATGTCTGGAGGGTGAGCTCCTCTGTGGATTCTCTGGTGACTAATAAGGAGCATGTTTACATTGCAGCCTTTCCTTCAAGGGTACCCTGCCTCCATCTGGCTGCCTATCTTTCACGAGTTTTTGGGATCTCTTCCTCCTTCTCTAGCCTCATTGGCAATGGTTAATAAGTAAGGGGATTATTAGGGAATACAGACATAAATAGAAAGGCCTTCTGTGTGTACATAGACACCCGTAGTAGGAACTCATCCTTGCACGCAGAAGAATTTGCTCTGCACCATTTACTCCTGTCAATATAGGAGACAGAGCAAAGCATCTTCAAAGCAGTGAGAGCTGCAGGAAGGAGGTAGCTCTTTCCCACTGCTAACCATGTCTTACATTTCCTCCTTATCCTCACTGGCTCCTTCCTTCATGATCTGCACATGGTTTGTTCTGTCTGCAGCAAAAGACTCGTGAACACCTCTGATTCTGAATTATAAACAGGGACAGGGACCAGGTTTGCACTTGAACCAGTGTGACACAACAGCACCTGTGTCCTCCAATGCATACCCGTAACCCCCAAATCTATTGGGTCCTCATTTCCTTCTGGAAGTGTTCAATCATGAGGCAGAAACACCTTCAGAAAGTGAGCAGGTCTGATCTCAAGAGGTTCCCAATGACTTAAAGCAGTTGGTCCCAATGCTCTCTTGAGACATTTGCTTTGACAAAGCAGCGATTTTCACCAGAGCAAAAATTTCCACTGACACACAAAAATTTGGTTTTTAAGTTTCCGTTGAGAAATTGTAGATATAAAAAGCTGACTTTTTCACTGTTACTGAAAGTTTTAGCTTTCTTCACCCCTAACATTTTTCTGTTTGCCAAAAAATGGGAAAGGTTTGTTTTTCTTTTTTTCACCAAAACCTCTCCAACACTTCAAGTTTTGACATAAGCTAAATATTTTGATGATAACTAGAATTCTTTGCTTTTATTGACATTCATGGAATAAAAGACGTGTCCTAACCGGCTCAACGGCTCTGTAAGGAAGGTTTATCTTATATCATCACCATTCTGATCAAAAGCATATTTCCAGAATGTGTCTACTTAACGTGTTTAACATGCCAGTAACAACAAAGCAGAGCCTCTTCATAGAAATGAACGTCTTTGCTTCCGCTAGATTGCAAGTCACCAACTGGGTGTTTTCAATTTAAATTAGGAAAAAAACAAACAACAAACTCTCTTACTTCAGCCACGCTCAGAATACAGTAAAGATTTTGAAGGTTTTTAATGGAGAGAACACTTAATCACAGAATCACAGAGTGATAGAATGGCTTGGGTTGGAAGGGACCTCAAGGATGATGAAGCTCCACCGAACCCCACAACAGGCAGGGCCACCAACCTCCACATTTAATATCAGGCCAGGCTGCCCAGGGCCCTATCCACCCTGGCCTTGAGCATCTCCAGGGACAGGGAGGTATTAATCACTTGATTTTTTTTCTTAATGAGCACGCCACCTTCTTTGCAAGTTGCTGCCTTTAAATCAAGGCTTGATGTCTTTCCAAAATACGTGATAAACAGAGCTATGGAAAAGATGCAGCATGATCTGTGCTATGATAAGGTCATCCCATCTGGCCTTAATCTACGGGGACAATGGGTGAAACATTTATGTGTCTATTAAAAGGTTAGTAAATAAACAAATGGAACATGCCGAAGTAAAAAGAGAGGCAACGATTGGAACGATGGCTTGGCTAACTACCAGGTACTAAAATTATCAATTCCACAGGGTTTCGTCTGGGAATCTCAAGGAACCTTGCAAATCTAATTCAGAATAATAGCTCACTTTGAAGATGGCAGAAGGATCTGCCCACGGGTGAGAAGTGATGTCCACCTCCAAATCTACAGTGTCATTCGCTCACCTGCAAATCCCAATCCTTTGGGTCTTTTGTCTTGGGCCATGACTAATCCTGATGCTACCTGCCAAGAGCAATGAGCCAAAAAAAGCCAGCAGTGAGTTATCATTTGCATCTGTGCAAACTGGAAATTAAAGACACCTTTCCAAACTGAACTTTGCAAGATGGATCGGAATAACAACCCAATATATCATTATTTTGATTATAGGACCGGTGCTGCAACCATCCCAGGGCAAGTGCTTTGCTCTTTTGTGTAGTTAAGTTGGAGAGGCAACTCGAAACTCAGGAACCAGAAACTTCCCTGTCCTTTTGAGAAGAGAACTGAGACTTGGAGAGACGGATCTTAACTCAAAGGCATTCTCAGTGTCTTAAGGCAGATGCAGATCTTGGATCCTTGCAACCCACTGCACACTGGAATGCAGAAGACACTCCTTCAACACAGAGAGTTTGCTCAGAATTTAAACCAGAAACCTCTGTCTCCCTGTTTCTTCTTTCCCTATACTTCCCTGCTGTTGTAGAACCAAATTTGTCATCTTTGATAAAGGACCCAAATCCATCAGAAACTCTGGTGTGTCTCAAGTTCTGATCTGGGGCCACAGGAGAGAAATGCAAGCATCTGCTGGGGGAATCCTGTTTGGGAGAGATGCTTCTGGAAAGAAAGGGGTAATTTGTGAAGGGACAGTAAGTATCGAAGCCACGTTTTCTTGACATCTAATTCCAGACAGCAGCACCCTTAGGAAGAGTAAATCAAGGGCTGGAAAACAATAGCACCTTGTATGTTAGGAATGTGAGTGGTGATGAGGTGAGGGGGGAGACAGCTCTTTGCCCATGCGGTAATGTATTTTTTGCTGAGTGTTGTTAGATTTTGGGGTCTGTGGGCTCCCTCCATCTGTTTGTGAGCCACCCTTCCCTCCTGGACACATTCTTTCCTTACTATCATCATGCTCCCGGTGCTGGAGTGACCACAGCCCGGCTCGAGTATCGCTATAAATACACAGCAGTGAGACATCCCCCACGCCTCTTCCCTTTTAGTGCTGCCGTCGGATCGGACTGGAAGGCACCATCGTGATAGGAAGAGTCTGAGCAGAATGGTTTGTGGGAAGGATGTGATTGACCTCACCAGCCGGCGGGGTCCCGTGGGACAAGTCATGACAGCTCTTGAGTCTGGGCCAAGCTATGAAGGTGATGGTCTTTGACAAAGGAGCAGCTAATCTCCCCCCCCCCCCCCCAGCTCTCCTTCTCTCATCTGGATCACAACTGGATGATGCTCATACCCTGCTCTGAAAATCTTAGAGGAATCTTAGCGCAGGCTACCTCAAGTAGGAGCTGATGAATGAGAGAAAGGAACGTTTCCTGGTGTGTTAATCTGAATTGCTTTATTAGCTCAGCTAATTTGCTCTGTCCCTACGCTGTTTGCTTCCAATGGGAGATCCAGAGTAAAGAGCAGGGCTGGATGAATGAAAAATACCATTGGTGCGTGTGAGTGCAAGAGTTTGAAAACTGAACTTTTGTTTTTTCTCCAGTAAAAATTTCCAGCGAAATGTTTCAGGTTTCTCGTAAAATAACAGCTATGTCACACATCAAAAACTGTTCAAAAAAAAAAAGAAAAAAGAAAAAAGAAAAAAAAAGAAAAAAAAGCAGTCTTTGGAATAAAGAATGTGGTGTTTCAACACATTCAAATTAAAAATTCTTGCTGAAAACAAGGAAAAATATATATACTGAAAGATTTTAGTTTTTGGGGGTATTCATGTCTTTTTTTCTCCTTTAAACATTATCGTGTTGCCCAGAAATAAAAGGAAGAATTATTCTTGCATTTTCTCTTTGGTCAAAAGGTCATTTTTAAAGCAATTGTAAAGAAATCTCAACATTAAGAAAACATTAAATCGGCTTCAGAGAACATATATTTTAAAATATAATTCTACTATTAAACTTAAAGGCAGCCCAGTATTAATAGTGGCAGTGATCCAAATACCAGGGATTAATCTGAAAATACATTAGTAAATGCTTTAAAATAATGAATATTTGGGGGTACACGTTCATTTATACAAATCTTAGAACCTATTTATATTTGTATCTGAATATACGTGCCCTTTGTTAATGGCTAATTGACAGAGTGGAATTCATGAAATAAACTGTTCATCAGCAATGTGACCCGAACCCAGCCAAGATGTTGGGCAGATGCTTTACTTTAACCAACATCTCTGCTGTACGTGGGCGATTCACAGACTTCTGAGTGAATGTTTTCTTGACCCAAAGCTGTCCTTTCCTTTTCATGCCTGGAATGATTACGATGCTGCTGGTGGGTTCCCAATGAGCACCGTAAGATTTGGGGAGAAAATTCAGCATGGGTGAGAGGCCAAGGACTAAATGTGCCAGAGGGATGAATGATTTATGCACTGATCATTCCAGGGGAGAGGTAGATGCTTTCTGCTAGGAGGTCTTGCTCCTCGACCATCACTGTCTTCCCTCCCATCCTCTGCCAGGATCATAGGGACCTCTGGGCAGGGACCTTACTCAGGCTCATCCAATTGCCTCCTGATTCCTCTGCTATCAGAATCATAGAATCATAGAATCATAGAATCACCAAGGTTGGAAAAGACCTAAAAGATCATCCAGTCCAACCGTTCACCTATTACCAATAGCTCCCGCTAAACCATGTCCCTCAACACAGCATCCAGTCTTTGATTCTGGATACAGAATTTCTGCTGAATGAAACTCAGAGATGTACAGGTTATTTTGAACAGTTATCATTAGATCCTGCTCTTCTCTCAGCTTCTTTCCTTGGTGTATATTGGCTACAGCCTTCTGTCTTGGGAGGGGCACATAGAGACCCCATAGAGACCCCATAGGGGCACATAGGGACCCCATAGGGACACCATAGGGACACAGAGGGTCCCTATGGGGACACATAGAGACCCCACAGGGACACAGAGAGATCCCACAGGGACCCCATAGGAACACATAGTGACACATAGGGAACACAGGATGTTTGGCTAACCAGATTGAACTCCTAAACTCATTTTCTTTCACCAATGAAAGCAGCGTCAGAGCCTTATTTTCACTTCACAGTCTGTCATCTGCCCCACTGATTTAGAAGTCCTCTGGCATAATTACAAAGCAGTCTTTCCAACAAGTGAATCTCCCTCTTTTGGGTGGCAGCTCACAGAGGAGATGTGCTGTCCTGCAAACGTTTGGGAAGATATTGACCCTGATTTTGAGAACGTGCAGCTTCAGGCTTGAACTGTTCATTTCAGTGAGGCTATTCCCAATTGGAAAGGTCAAACATACACTTCAAGATTTTCCAGCATCGCAACCAAAGTGAAAATGCTATTGCTGCTTGGAAACCACCTAGCACCTGTATTTTCTTATCCAACTCCGAAGAGAAAATCTGGCAATGTTTTTCTTTTTGCATACTTTTCTCTCAGTGCTGGAAAGAGTTGTGGAGAAGCAGCACATTGCAAAGTACAGGGACAGGAAGTGCTTCAAGCTCAGCCATTGTTTGGAAAGGCATTCAAGACTTTTCTTTTTGCCCAGGACATTGCCAAAATACAATCCAGAGAAGAGAGACAGATGTTACCCACCTTTCTAGAGCATCCAGGACTAGTGTGAGCTCAGTGCCTGTCAAGCCCCCTGCCCTAACACTGTATTTATTTAGAAGGAAAAGCATTGTAGAACTTCATAACCAACTAAAGGGACACGGAGAACTGCATTTGGTGGAAATTATCTCCACGAGAAAAGGGAACATTTGCTTCCCTATCCAACATGGTATATAGAAGAATTCATGCAATTTCTATACCACCCTCCAGCTAGGCCTGTGATTTGCTTAACCTCCAGGAACAATCATGTTCTGGAGAAGTACAGCAATATCTTAGTAGACAATGCATGAGGGTTTATTGCTTTGGATAGAGATCAGTAACATTTTCAACCTGCTTTGCCCCTTTTAACTCTGCGCTTAAGTTATTCTGTATTATTTATAGGCAGGTAGGTTTGCACATTCATAAAACGTTCAGTTTCCTGTTATGTCTAGAGAACTGGTAGGAGGTATGGCAAATATATTCGAAGCAGCTCAAATCCCCTATGTGGTTTCCATTGAGTGAAATATTCATCACTTCCTGTCCTAAACTCAGTGAAGCACTGCCAATATTTTAACAAGAGGATCCCACAGAAATGTATCGTTCTTCTCTCCTTTTACCTATACCTATGCCTTCCTTCCCTTCCTTCCTTCCATTGATCCACCCATGCACCCATCCATCCACCATCCATCTCTGGAAAGGGTTGTCAGCACTTACCCCCACTACAACTAGGAGAGCCACGTCACTCAAGAGAAGTCCACTCAATGCTCACACACTTGCAGGTGGAAGAACATAAGAAGGCAGCATCTTTGCCACCTCTCTGCAAGGGAGTCTGTGCAAGATCCTTGCTTTTTTTTTTGGTGCACTTGTTAAATCTGCAGAGAAACATTGCTGACATACTCAAGATAGATGCCACGGGGAGGTAACTTCACACTCAAAAGGTCCAGGAGCTTTTGGCCCAGATAACACATGGGACATTGAGAAAGTCATCACTGGAGCAGTGAGGAACAGACGCTGGTTTTCCCAAGTTTTTGCAGTGCCTAACCTGTTGGGCTGCATGGCCTCCTGTGACACTCACTGAAACTGAATCCCTCTCGAGCTATTTTCTCTGCTCAGTGTGGGAAAATTCCGTACCATAATGATGGTTAATAATAGAAAGCTCTTATTTTATTTGAAAGTTTGCCGAAGAGCAACAGAACCATTTCCGACCCTCTTTTCTGAGAATATGATTCCCTCAATCATGTATTATTATTCTAGAGGGGGAGGCCCTGGAGGAGCAGGAGGGGGGCACGAGCTTTCTGCAACGAATGGCCGGGCTTCTGAAATAAATGATTGTCACCTCCTTGTTCATATGCATGAATCAGCGGCGCCTGTGCAGATGCGGATGGGAGCCAACACACCCCGAGCACCATCCCTTGCAGAGCTCCGAGCTGCTTAAATTTAATTTAGTTTCCCTTTCCTCGCACAGTCGAACTAAGAAGCCACAAAAAGA